AATTATAATATATATATATATATATATTTTATATATATATATATATAAAATATTTAAAAGATATAAAATATTTAACATATTAAAAATAATTTATAATATTTTTTATTATTAATTTTAAAAATTATTAAATTTGAATAATTTTTTCATACCGGTATTCCATCCATAGTAATTTCTGGAAACTCAATCATTAAATATAAGTACTCAGACGCTCTTTTTTCTCTTTCATTAATTAATTCAATCTCTCTAAATGTTAATCTATCTAACCAATCAACTTTATTCATTTGACCATTTCTGTGTTTTTTGACAAGTTTTGCTAATCGCTGCATTTGTTCTTTCCCATGATCTCTAGTTTTTCCTGGTGTACTATTTGGTATTCTACCATCTGCTTCTACTCCAGGCCATACTCTAAGATCTAACATTCCTTGACGAAATACTCCATGTTTACCAAACATAGATATTGTTGTACCACCAATAGGTAATTGTCTACCAGGTCCAGCACAATCATATAAACTTATACATAACTGAGCATCTCGTGGTAAATCAGAATAAGAAATAGGTAGAGTTACCCATTGATTCCAACTAAAAAAATTAATAAAATTTAAATGTACATCAAATATATTTTAAAAACACTAAAATGATACATACTTCCAACGTGATGTAAAATGTTTATAAGCTGTATGAACAGGTAAAGCAAGTGGTCTTCCACCAGCCCACACTTGTAGAGAGGCTGCTAAATCTCCACGTCCTCCATTGGCTCCATATAGACCAGAATATTTCAACATAGGATCAATAAGTAATTTATCATATTCAGGTCGTTGTTTCTTACCTTCTAAAGTTCCTCTATTAAAAAAAATATATATATATATTATATAATGATGATTTGTACTAAAATTATGATTATTTATTTTTATTTATTTTAATTAAAATAACCAATGTAATGGAATAATCTATAATATAATTAAATATATTCAATCATCTATTTCATCTGAATTAAATTATACATTTAGATTATAATAGAATTATTTTATATTTAATGATATTATTAGTGGTCCACTTGTTTTTATTACAAAGATATACTAGAACATCATTATAGTAACCTGATACCAGCTGATACTGACACACTTATTATATTTCACATTTTTACAAATATCTTACATTTTAATTTGTATTCTTGTATCTAATGAAGAACTATACACATAGAAAAATTTATCATTAATATCTTCCATCATTATTGAATTATAAGATTAATATTTCTCTACATTTTTTGACATTCTACCACGTCTACCGTACTCGTACTCAAAACTCAAAACATACATTAGTGCATATACTACTACATACTACTACATATCACACGCAAATAAAGTTGCCGGGCAAAGTCTGACTATTAGAAGAGTGGGAGAAATAACGGGTGTTCTTTTATATTATATTTAGCATAATAAGATACCAGATTAAAATAGCTACCCGTGATTTCAGAGAATAGCAATATACAAATGATACACAATAATGCCTTCTAAATGCCTTTTAAATTCTATAAATGACAGAATAAACTAATTAAGTACACTGAATTTAAACAAGTGAAAATCTGAGTCGACAATAAAAGTAAAGAAAAGAATTTTAAACAATTGTATCAAAAAAATGATTCGTTTGTTAAATCTATTCTTTTGCTATTTGTAATCTTACATCACATTTTTAAAACATGTAGTTAATTATCCAAATAATAGTATTAAACAAACAAGATTTAATAATGTAATGTTATTAAATATAGAGATTTAATATTATATATTTTTAATAAAATATTATAAATAAAATATGAATTCACAATTTATAATTGAATATAATTGATTTAGAATATGTTTATAAACAATAATTATCTCTGATATTGTATGTATCTCATTGTATATCATTTTTAATTTTTTAATTTATGATTATATTATATATAAATTATTTGTAAATGCGCCATATTCTGTAACAAAATATTTTTTTTATTTCTCATTTATAATTTTATATTGAAATTTAATTCCGATCAATATTAGTGTCATAATCCTATTCTATGTTAAATCACTAATGTTGTCACTAAAATGCTAACGATCTTAATAAAAAGTTCTCGAGACAAATAATATTGAATGTTATCTATTCTATACTTTGTCTGTGCTTCTATTTCGCGCCAAAAGCCGTAATAAATAGAATAGGAAAAATTAATAATTATTGAAATTTTAAATATAATCAAATTATTCTGATTTGAAAATGGTTGGAAAAGGAAGAATGTATGTGATAAAACGCGGTAAGTCATAAAGTTTATTATTCTATTGATATTTTGAATAATATTAGTTTAATTCAATTACAAATGTAAAATATTCTAAATTTAAATATTTTTCATAATTATTAGATGGGCGCAAAGAAGATGTTCATTTCGACAAAATTACATCCAGGATATCTAAATTATGTTATAATTTAGATATGGATTATATAGATCCTGTAAGTATATTTATTATTGAATTAATTATTACTATTATTCATAATTTTATTTTGATTATATTTTGTATATTAGTTTATTAATTTTTATTTATTAATTTTTTGCAAAATTATGTATATTTTACTAATAAGGTAGAAAGAAAATAAGAGGAAATTACGTTTTTAACATAAATATATTTATGAATGTATATTTTGTTAAATTTTTGTTTTTTTTTTCATAGTCTGCAATCACTTTTCGTGTTATCAGTGGTTTATATTCAGGTGTAACTACTGTTGAATTAGATAATCTTGCAGCTGAAACAGCAGCAACTATGACTACTAAACATCCAGATTATGCAATATTAGCTGCACGAATTGCAATTTCTAATCTTCATAAAGAAACAACAAAAAGTTTTAGCGGTAAGACAATGAATATATTTAATTCATCATATTCAATTTTTTTTTAATAATTCAAATCATTTCATTCAAATCATTTCATTTATAGAAGTAATATATAATTTATATCATGTAAAGGAACAATATACAAATAATCAAAAACCTGTTATTAGTGAGAAATATTATAATATTATACAAAAAAATGCAAATAAGTTAAATTCTGCAATAATTTATGATAGAGATTTTAGTTATAATTATTTTGGTTTCAAAACGCTTGAAAGAAGTTATTTATTAAAAATACATGGAAAAGTAGTTGAAAGACCACAGCATATGTTAATGAGAGTTGCAGTTGCTATCCATGGTGAAGATATTAACAAAGCTATAGAAACTTATAATTTTTTATCAGAACGTTATTTTACACATGCATCTCCAACACTTTTTTCTGCATGTACTAGGCAACAGCAAATGTCTAGGTATATTTTTTAAAATTATAATAAAATATGATTATTTATATAATAATTTAAAACTTATTTTTCAGCTGTTTTTTATTAACAATGAGTGAAGATAGTATTGAAGGAATTTATGACACATTAAAAAGATGTGCACTCATTAGCAAATCAGCTGGTGGTATTGGACTTAATGTACATTGTATTCGAGCAAGAGGTACACCAATAGCTGGTACACTTGGTGTATCTAATGGTTTGATTCCAATGATTAGAGTATACAATAATACAGCTCGATATGTTGATCAAGGAGGAAATAAAAGACCTGGAGCATTTGCTATATATTTAGAACCATGGCATGCAGATATTTTTGAATTTTTAGATCTTAAAAAAAATACTGGTAAGTTAGAATTACTTTTAATTTTTATAATCTTTTATAATTGTTATAATTTTTTAATCAGAAAATTTGAAAAGTAATATCAATAGAAAAAAAAACAAGAAGCTTTATTATTTCATTGTATATAATATAAAATATTTCATTATATTAATATAAAAATTATTATAAAACTATTACAAGAAAAAAAAATACTATTTTATTTTGCTTTTATTTTTTTTATTTTTAATTTATTTTGTTTTTATCTTGTTTTTATATATTTAAAATACAAACCAAAAAAATATAAATAAACATAGAATAAAATACAGTTATTAAAATAGATATAAAAATAAATATAAAATAATATAAAATATAAAATAATATAATATATGATGATTATTAGATAAAAATAGATTTGTATTATAAATTAATATATGCTTTTTAAAGATTATAAAAAATAATTTAATTATGATTTAATAAATTAAATTTATGTGCAGCTAATATTGCAAAAAATTTAATAAATAATTTAAATTTATGATATAATAAAAGAATAAATTTTTAATTATTTATTTTAATAATATTATATTGTACTATGTTTAATCGCGATTAAACAGGTAAAGAAGAAAATAGAGCTAGAGAATTATTCTATGCTCTATGGATACCTGATCTTTTTATGAAACGAGTTTTGGATAATGATATATGGACTTTAATGTGTCCACATGAATCTCCTGGTTTGGCTGATGTTTGGGGCAATGAATTTGAAATTCTCTATACACGGTAAATTAAATTAAATTATTCAGATTTGAAATTNATATATATAAAGATGTTATTATATAATATAATAATGAAATTCATTGTCAGTAGATTTTTGATTATTATATTTTTTGATAATAATTTAATAAAGTATGCTTATGAAATGTTGTAATTTTTATTTTAATTTTTAATAATTAATAATTTATCAATTTCAATAGTATTTTGATAAATTAAATTATATAAATAATATTAAATTCTTAATTAGGTATGAGAATGAGAAAAGATATAAACGACAAATTCAAGCTAGAGATTTATGGACAGCTATTCTTATTTCTCAAGTTGAAACAGGAACTCCATATATGCTTTATAAAGATCATTGTAATCGCAAATCAAATCATCAAAATATAGGAACAATAAAAAGTAGTAATTTATGTACAGAAGTTGTGCAGTATTCCAGTCCAGATGAAGTTGCTGTCTGTAATTTAGCTTCAATTGCTGTTAATATGTTTGTAAATCCTATTAATCAAACATTTGATTTTCAAAAACTTCTGAAAGTAACAAAAATTGTTACTTGTAATCTCGACAAAATTATCGATGTCAATTATTATCCCATTCCAGAAGCAAAAAAGTCAAATTTTAGACATAGACCTATAGGTAAATATTCTTATACTATAAAATATATATTTTTATATGTTTATCATATATTTATCACATATATTTTAGGTATTGGAATTCAAGGTCTTGCAGATGCATTTCTTTTAATGCGCTATCCATTTGAAAGTGAAGAAGCACAAAAACTTAATATTCAAATATTTGAAACATTGTATTATGGTGCTTTAGAAGCCAGTTGTGAACTTGCTGAAGAAAAAGGTACATATGAAACTTATGAAGGTAGTCCAGTAAGCAAAGGAGTAAGTAAATTATAATAAATATTATATTTACATTTTTTTTTTTAACATAGAAATGTCAATATATTAATTATTAATATCTACTTCTAGATTTTACAATACGATATGTGGAATGCTATTCCAACTAATTTATGGGATTGGACTATTTTGAAAAAAAAAATTGCTAAACATGGAGTTAGAAATTCTTTGTTAATTGCACCTATGCCAACAGCATCAACTGCACAAATTTTAGGAAATAATGAATCTATAGAACCATACACCAGCAATATCTATACAAGAAGAGTTCTGTCAGGAGAGTTTCAAGTTGTAAATCCTCATTTATTACGAGATTTAACTGAAAGAGATCTTTGGAATGAGGATATGAAAAATGAAATTATAGCAAATAATGGCTCTATACAAGTATCTATTTCATATAAATTCAAAGTATTCAATTATTAAATGTATGATGAAGAATTATTTTAAATAAAAATGTTTTTATTCTAGGACATAGAACGTATACCAGATGATTTAAAAATGCTTTATAAAACAGTTTGGGAAATACCACAAAAAATAATTTTAAAAATGGCAGCAGATCGTGGTGCATTTATAGATCAATCACAATCATTAAATGTTCATATGGCAAAACCAACAACAGAAAAACTTACTTCAATGCATTTTTATGGATGGAAAATGGCAAATAATTTTAATTTTTTCTTTATAATTTATATAAATGATAATTTTCATTATTATTCTATATATTATTCTAATAGAAGTTATTTGAACATATGAAAACATTTTTTAGGGTTTGAAAACTGGCATGTATTATTTAAGAACAAAACCAGCAGCAAATGCTCTTCAATTTACAGTTGATAAATCCAAATTACGAAATACAAGCAATATTACTTCTAATCAATCTATTAATTCTGAAAATGATAATAATGAAGAACTTAATAATAGTTCTCAAAATGGATGGTTACAAGATCAAAATAAAGAAGATGTAGACATAGTACTCGCATGTTCTCGCGAAAATGGAGATGCGTGTATGGCCTGTGGATCATAAATATGATTTTCTTATTTAAAATTATTTAAAATTATATATATTGTATTTAAGTTATGATTTTTATTTAGAATTATAAGTGAAAATTATTTCATATTTTTATGAGTATTGCTTTTCAGTATGTATTTTATAATAATATGATATTGAAAAATTCTAAAATAAATAAAATTTGTTATTAATTAATTTCATAATTTATTTTTTTATAATTAACATTTAAAATATAAAGATTTGAAATTTCGCGCGAAAATTTTAATAAATTTTAATAAATGTTGATCACTATTGTATGCTTTGTGAGCTACAGTCAAGTGTTCAAGAATAGCGTCACTACGGTAGTCAAGTGAAATGTCAAAATTACAAGCGTGTCGACGTACATAGTTGCGTATCAGTTAACTGTCGAGTAAATTTCGTTTCGTTAAACATCCAAAGTGAACATATTCATTTCAAACTCATTTAAGAGTGATTCGGCATTGTGCCGATTAAATATGTAATGGGTTTATTTTTGATTAAAAGAAAATAAGGAAATAATAAAAAAGATTTCTTCTGCAACGAATTTGGGCATTGATGCCCAGCTGATGCATTTTAACATATTTGACAGTTGAAATTGCGTAATTGTTGCTAGGATTTTCTTATGAGTCTTTTTACGCAATTTATCTAAATTGCCGTATAGAATGGCGGATTTGGATGACTTATTTCATTTAGATCAATACGGAGGTCCAGAATCTCTTGCAGAACTATGTTTCCAAGTAATCTGCAAAAATTTAGATATTATCTCGGTGAAAGATAAATGCGAATATCGGAATCTTTTAAAAGGAGTAGTTTTTCCGAGTGAAATATGCGATAAACTTATTGAATATGTTTTACGAAATGATCCGAATGAAGATCATGATCGTTTCTTTACAATTTTCAAGAATGTATGGATAACCAAACTTAAACGTGTCAAAGTTGTAGGATCTAATATAACTGATGACTCAGTACAGATCCTTGCAAATCATAAACTTTTAAGATTAGAACTTACAGATTGTCCTAATTTAACAGATCAATCTATTGATTATATAAATGCAAATGCAGAAAATTTGCATACTTTAGTATGTCGTGGTACTTCTGTAATCATTCCGGAAAAACTTACAGGTAAGAATACTTTATTATTCATTTTCAATTAAATAATTATGTTTATATAAATAATTAAGTATTTAATTTTAATATAAATTAATTAATAATATAAATTAAATTAATATATAAATTATATATATATAATATTCCATTATTAAAATGCTTTTTTAATTTTTATTTATTAATAATCAATTATATGTA